GCTGGAGAACTCCTAGTCTTCCTTCTTGCTGCTGTCATTCTTCTTGGCAGCTCAGCTCTGAAAGCATGTGGTATGGTGTTTAGGGTGAGATTTACATACCTTTAACAATGATTTCAGGAGTTTATACACAACTTTATGAGGTTACTCCTCTGATCCATTTATGTCTCCATGGCTCCTTGGGGCTTGTACTTCTGGTCATTCAGTCTGGAAACAGAGGCTTCAGCTTTCCCTTTCTGCCACAAACTTCTTATGACTGTGTCTGAATTTAGGATCAAGTAGAAGGAAGACAGAAAAAAATTTTAAAAAGCAACAGGGATCTGCTTCATGCTCTTGGGAACACAGATTCTCTGATCAGAGAGGAGTTTCACTTCCTCAGAGTTTTAGGCACCTGCCTAGTACCTGGAGAATGGGTCAGCAAAGAAGGGTAAAAAGAAGAAAAAAAGGATTTCTCCACTATCTCTGAGCTCTAGTACTTTCCTTTCAGATTTCCAGACCAGAAATGAAAAGTTCTATTGGAACTCTTTTTGTCTACAGCTGGTGTGGACTTCTGGGATTCAGGATGGCTTTGAGTTCAAACTAGGCAATTTTGAGAAGAAAAATGATAAATTTCTTGCTGGTTTAGAGAAACTTCAATTTTCGGACTCCTTCCCAAATCTTCCTGCTACCATTGACTTTTCAGGCATGCTGCTTCATGTATTCTGTCCAGCATTTTTAGTTGTACTCGGTAGGACAAATGGTGGAATGTCATTACTCCATCCTCCCTGGAATCAGAACTTCCCTTAGTTTTTATGTCAATAGGTTTCATAAGAATCTGTCTCTTTAAACAAAACCAGTATAGAATTGGACAAATCATTTGTGCAATAAGACCACTCTGGAAGTGTCATATGTGAGAACAGATTTAATTTCATTAAGTATGAAAATATCATCATTAAGAAACATGAGTTGTATTTTACATGTAGAGCCAATGTCTAAGAAGCCCATCTGTGAATCTAATCTGGTTTCTGTTATTTTGGTCTTATAAATTCTAGCCTTACAGGGAATAAAAAGGTTACTTATTGGAAGGCTAGGGATTTTAGCATATTTTGGAGACCTAGAGGAAAGACAAATTTATTCAAAATTGCTGGTCCTTAAAATAATCTGACTGAGATTAACATATTTGTTTTGGTTTTCTAGAATTAGATTAAATGAGGAAGTGTGAGTAATAACGTCTCTGAAAGATAAGAGGCTATATATGCAATCTTTCTTACATAATCTCCAGACAGAAGTCAATTCTGTGAACATAGTAGTTGCTTAGAACTGTATGGTTCTGGATTTACTTACCATACAATAAGAAGGCTTGGCTGGGCATGGTGGCTCAAGCCTGTAATCCCAGCACTTTGGGAGGCCGAGGCGGGTGGATCACGAGGTCAAGAGATCGAGACCATCCTGGTCAACATGGTGAAACCCCGTCTCTACTAAAAATACAAAAAATTAGCTGGGCATGGTGGCACGTGCCTGTAATCCCAGCTACTCAGGAGGCTGAGGCAGGAGAATTGCCTGAACCCAGGAGGCGGAGGTTGTGGTGAGCTGAGATTACGCCATTGCACTCCAGCCTGGGTAACAAGAGCGAAACTCCGTCTCAAAAAAAAAAAGAAGGCTTATGTGTGTTAGTGAATAATCTTTGCTTTATCTATGAATCGAGTCAAACCACCACCACAAGAAAACCAACAAAAAATCCTTGCAACAAGGTGGCCTTTTAATGATGAAAAATAAAATTTTGGAATTATTTATAATCACATGGAAGGACAATAAGAAAAAAATGAAAACATGGAAACAAAGCAAAAAAGATGACCTTTAAAAATAATTTTAGAGTATTTTCTATAAGCTTCTCTGATAATCATTTGATTCTTAACAGGAATATAAATTAGTTTTGCACAATTGATTAGGGCTCAGACTTTTTTCAGTTCTGCAAAACTTATAGTTGCATGATTATTTCTTATCTGTCAAATAGAGCAGTTAACCACCAAAGTTTTGTTGTCCTGGTGAACAATAATCAGAACAGGCTTGATCATTTTGCTGATTCCATTATTAATAAAGTAAGTAAAACTTTGGCCAGCTTATTATATATTTGTGAGAATTTATTTTAACATTTTGAGAATCACACTTTGACATAATGTTGCCAATTATCATCTTTATATTTATACTCCCTTTCTGTACCTGAATGATAATTTATTTTTGGATACAACTTGATTAAAACTGATGGTTCTTAGAGTATTGTACTTAATTTGATAAAATAGCTCCAGACGGTCTTCAGTTGGTCTTTAGAATGGCTGCATCAGACTACACTCTCAAAAACAAAGCATGAGGGTCCTTTCTGTCAACATTCTTTTCCACATTTGAAATTACTAGCTTTTGTATTTTTGACATTCTGATAAGTGTAAAGTGTTATCTCCATTAATTTTAATTTTTATTTCCATGATCTTGAAGGAGTATGAACGTCTTTCCTTTTGGTTTTCTATTTCTTCTTCTTTTTCTTCTTCTTCTTCTTCTTTTTTTTTTTTGAGACAGAGTCTCACTCTATTGCCTAGGCTGGAGATCAATGATGTATGGCTCACTACAACCTCTGCCTCCTGGGTTCAAGTGATTCTCATGCCTCAGCCTCCAGAGTAGCTGGGATTACAGGTGCCACCACCACGTCTGGATAATTTTTGTATTTTTAGTAGAGGTGAGGTTTCACCATGTTGGCCAGACTAGTCTCAAACTTCTGACCTCAAGTGACCCACCCACCTTGGCCTGCCAAAGTACTGAGACTACGGCGTGAGCCATTATGCCCAGCCTAGTCTCATTATTTTAAATGGTATTCATATGCTGATAATTCTCAAATATATAACTGCAGCCCATATATTTCTCCTGAACTTCAGACTCATATGTCCAACTGCATATTAGACATTTCCACTTGGAGTGACTGATACACATCTATAACTTAGTATATATAATTGCACTCTTGATTTTTCTCCCACAAACTTGCTTCTCTTACAATCCTTTCCATTTGTATTGATGGCAATTCTTTTATATTAGTTGCTGAAGCAGTAAACCATTGAGTTATTCTTGGTTCACCTTGAAAATCTCAGGCCAAAACTAATATTTAAATTTTGTTATAAGTTGTCTAGTCAATATATATGTATTGAACACCTTTTGTGTACTAGGAACTCTTATAGGGAAGGTATATATCACTGAACAAAATAGACAAAAAGCCTAACCATTGAAGAACTTATGAAGAGATGTGACAGTAAGCAAGAAAATAATGAGAAAATTACATTTATTAAAGTGAAGATAAAATGTGCTTTGGCATAAAGAAAGATTATAACAAATTAAGAGAATCAGAAATCTGTGGGAGATGGGAGGAATATGTCAGAATATTAAAGAGATATATAGAATAATCAGGATAGACTTCATTAACAAATTATATCTAACTTGAAGGATGTGAGGAGTCAGCTAAGCTGTTTCCTTTGGGTAAAACATTGAAGGCAGAGGGAAAAACTAGAGCAAATGTCCTAAGGAAGAATGCTTGGTGTGTTAAAGGAGTGGCAGAGACATCTGTATGTTGGATCAGAGAGATAATAATTATTAGAAGGAAATGAGGTCAGAGTGGTAATAAAAGAAACAGATAATTTGGTTTTTGTTTGTCACTGTAAGTCTTTGCTTTCCTGAGGGAAATAGGAGGCTAGAACTACTCTTTTTGGCATGGGAGTGATGTGGCCAAAGGATTACTCTGGCTGCCATATAGAAATATAATGTAGGAGGAAAGGGTAAAAGCAGGATACAATAAAGGGCTATTTCAGTAACCTCAATAAAAACCTACAATGATTTTGACCAGGGTGGCAGCAGTGGGAAAAATAAGATAATCAGATTCTAAATATTTTTTCAAATGTTGAACAATGTCAAACCTATGGAAAAGTTACAAAAACAGGAAAATGAACATTTATATAGTTGGTAAACTTAAGCTACCCTTTGCCACATTCTCTCTCACTAAGTATATTCATTTAGATATAAATGGAATAGATCTGTATCTATTTATATTGGTCTGTAGATATATATACACACACACACATACAAAGACTGTGGGTGTGAAAAAACGTTAATTGTTAAATGCTTTTTATAATGTTAAAAGAATTTTACAACTATTAGGTCCTTTTACTTCGTGTTGAAATACTTCAGCATGTAACTCTCAAGAGTAAGAATATACTTCTCAAAATGGCAGCATGATGATTAAATTAAAATACTTAATCATCTTATAAATTGACTATCTAATATGTTGCCCATATCAAATTTCACAAATTTTCCAAATAATATATTTTATGGAATTTTTTTCTGACCCAGAATCAAACATTACACTTAGTTCCTATGTCTGTTTAGTTGTATTTAATCTGAAATTGTTCTTAGCCCTTCTTCACCTTTGATGATATTAATAAATTTTAAAGGGTACAAAAAATAATAGTTTTAAAGAATGATCCTGAGTTTTAGCTTGTCTGATTATTTCCTTATAATTGTGGCAGTATGTCACATTGGAAGATACATAATGTCAGTTTGTCTCATTATTGGTGATGTAATTTGGTTAGTGTTGTGTTCACCAAGTTTCTCAGCTGCAATGATACCATTTTTTTCCTTGTAATTAGTAACTAATTTGTGGGGAGATACATTGAAATTCATTGCCAACAAACTTCTTTTACTCCAATATTTTAGTATTTGTGGATGATTCTTGTCTGAATCAATTATTCCTATGATGGCTAAAAAACAGTGACTTTCAAATGGTAATTTATTTTACACGTATTAATTGGCATTCTTTTGTAAAAAAGTTCCCATTTCCCCCACCCTCGTTTAAGCCATAGTTATATCTGTTCATATTAGTTTATTCATAGTATCCATTATTAGTCATTAATATCAAGGATTCTGTTTTATACATTTTGATATAATGCATTTCTGTCAGCATTCATTGTAGTATTAAAATTGTATTTTTCCAGTGGGAGACCCTTCACATGTATCCTGTGGTGTTTTTACAAGTATTCTCATAATTTTTGAGAGTTTCTTACTTTCTGAAGAAAAAAAGATATTAGTTTCATCTTGCACTTTTGTCACCACTATCCTGAGGTGAGTAATTTCTCCAAAAAGCCCTGTTTCCTTTTAGTGAGGAGTGGTATTTATAATTTATATGTATTATTAATATACAGCCTTAGTGCCTAGCACATAAGAAGTGCTTAATACACACTCTTGATTAATAATTATAATGAGATTTATGTACATGTTTTTGCCTTATGTTTGAAGTTTCATTTTAAAAGTCCTTTCTTGCCCCTATGTTTTAAAGTTATCACCCTCTATTTCCTTCTATCAACATATCAACATTATTGCTTTACCTCCACATTGTGTTTAATCTACTTGGAGTCCACCTTTGATTATGATGGTGTATACCCACACATACACATACACACACACACACACACACATCATATATATATATATATATATATGAAATTACCATCAAATTAGTATATGTATATGTATCTTTTTATACATCTTTCCACTTCATTTGCGATGCTGACATGAAATTTATTGATCTTTATGCTTCTTTTAAAGTTTTAGATTATCATCTTAAAAACACCACTGGAGGTCAAACATTGTGGCTCATACCTGTAATCCCAGCACCTTGGGAGGCCAAGGGCGGTGGATCACCTGAGGTCAGGAGTTTGAGACCAGCATGGCCGACATGGTGAAACTCCATCTCTACTTAAAAATACAAAAATTAGCTGGGGATGGTGGTGGGCATGTTTAATCCCAGCTACAGGGGAGGCTGAGGCAGGAGAATTACTTGACTCCAGAAGGTGGAGGTTGCAGTGAGTCAAGATCATGCCATTGCACTCCAGCATGGGCAACAAGAGTGAAACTCTGTCTCAGAAAAAAAAAACCACTGGAATTTTGATGTCAATGATTTTTAATTATGGATTAATTTGGAGTGATTATATTTCATATTAATTAATGGCATCCAATTGATGCTATTAGAATGGCACATAGAATGTGTCTCTATTTATTTAGAATCTTTTCTCTACTGTAAAAGCATATTGTATCTTTCCTCATTGAGATCTTGTGTACTCTTAGTTAATTCATAGATGCTTTATAGCTTTTGTTTGGAGTTGGGGCCTTGCTCTGTTGTACAGGCTGGAGTGAGGTGGCATAATCATAACTCACTGTAACCTTAAACTTCCGGGCTTAAGTGATCCTCCTGCCTCAGCCTCCCAAGTAGCTAGAACAACAGACATGTGCCACCATGCCTGGATAAGTTTTAAAATTTTTAGTAGAGATGGGGTCTCACTATGTTGTCTAGGCTGGTCTTAAACTCCTGAGCTCAAGTAATCCTCCTGTCTGGGTTTCCCAAAGTGCCAACATTATAGGCATTAACCATCATTCCCAGCCATCTTTATAGCTTTCTTAATGTTGTGCATGGTATGTTAGTTTTTATTTATATTTTCTGTTAGATTAGTGATAATATAGTGAAATATTATTAATAAGTTAAAATTTATCTTGAATTACTATCAGAAGAAATAGCATCTTTGCTGATATTTCTGATTAGTTCTGAGTTTATGACATTTTTGTTTTTCTACGTAGATTATTGTATCAATAATGAATGAGTTTTATCTCTGCCTTTTTCAACTTCTTTCTCTCTTCCTTCCTTTCTTTTCCTTCCTTCCTTCCTTCCTTCCTTCCTTCCTTCCTTCCTTCCTTCCTTCCTTCCTTCCTTCCTTCCTTCCTTCCTTCTTCCCTCCCTCCCTCCCTCCCTCCCTCCCTCCCTCCCTCCCTCCCTCCCTCCCTCCCTCCCTCTCTCTCTCTCTCTCTCTCCTATCTCTCTCTTTTTCTTTCTTTCTTTCTTCAGGGTCTTACTCTGTAATCCAGGCTGGAGTGCAGTAGTGCAATCATGGCTCACTGTAGCCTTGACTTTCTGGGCTTAAGCAGTTCTCCCACATCAGCCTCCCAAGTAGCTGGGACCACAGGTGTGTACATGCATACCTGGATAACTTATTTTGGGAGGCCAAGGCGGGTGGATCATGAGCTCAAGAGATCGAGACCATCCTGGTCAACATGGTGAAACCCCATCTCTACTGAAAAGACAAAAAAATTAGCTGCGCGTGGTGACGTGTGCCTGTAATCCCAGCTACTCAGGAGGCTGAGGCAGGAGAATTGCCTGAACCCAGGAGACAGAGGTTGCGGTGAGCTGAGATTGCGCCATTGCACTCCAGCCTGGGTAACAAGAGCGAAACTCTGTCTCAAAAAAAAAGAAAAAAAAGATTTTCTTTTTTTGGTGAAGATGTCATTTCCCTGTGTTGCTCAGGCTGGTCTCAAAGTCCTGGGCTCAAGCAATATTCCTGTATTGGCCTCCCATAGTGCTTAGATTACAGGTTTGAGTCACCATACTTGGCCTTTTGTTCTTGTCTTATAGTACTGGGGCCAGGACCTACCATATTAAACAGTAGAGATGATGGCAAGCATCTGTATTTTATTTTCAGTTTTGAAGGTAATATATTTAAATTTTCTATATCAAGTTAATATCTACTATAGGTTTTTAATGTGTAGTTTTACCACATAGAGGAATTTTCCTAGAAGTTATTTTTGATCAGAATTATGTATTGAACCTTATTAAATACTCTAGTTGTTTGAATGTTGGCCTCCAAGAAGATATGTTGTGTCCTAATATATGGACCTTAATGGAAATGTGACGTCATTTGGAAAAGGGGTCTCTGCAGATGTAATTAAGTTAATTATCCTAAAATGAGATTATTCTGGATTATCAAGGTTGGCACTAAATTTAATGATAAGTGTCCAAATAAGACATAGAAAAAGACACAGAGAAGAGAAGCAAATTAATATAGAGGAGCATATTGGGCTAATACAGCTACAAGGAATGTCAACAGCCACTAGAAGCTGGAACAGAGAAGGAACATTCTCTCTTAGAGCCTTTCAGTGGAAGGATAACTCTGCTAACACTCTGATCTCAGACATATGGCCTCTACAACTGTGAGACAACAAATTTGTTTTAAGCCACCATGTTTGTGGTAATTTGTTACAGCAGCCCTGTAAAATTAATACAAATGCTTTTCTTTATTATTTGATTTTTTTTATCCTAATCTGGTCACTTTGAGATTCACATATTATTTGATTTTTATCTTTTCATTTGTTACACAGTCAATCTCTGACTAATGTTCAGTGCCAATATCAAACAATTGCAGTTACTTTTAATTGGGAGGAGGTTCACACAGAAAATTATGTGCTAACAAAATTATTGGAAGGGTTTAAGTAGTAAGCTGAACAAAACTAGTTTACCGGGTGGGTGTGGTGGCTCACACTTGTAATCCCAGCACTTTAGGAAGCCAAGTCAGGAGGATTGCTTAAGCCCAGGAGTTTAAGACCAGCCTGGAAAATATAGCAAGATCCCATCTCTACAAATAAAAAAAAATTAGCCTCAAGCCTGTAATCCCAACACATTGGGAGGCCGAGGCGGGTGGATCACGAGGTCAACAGATCGAGAACATCCTGGTCAACATGGGGAAACCCCATCTCTACTAAAAATACAAAAAATGAGCTGGGCATGGTGGCGCATGCCTGTAATCCCAGCTACTCAGGAGGCTGAGGCAGGAGAATTGCCTGAACCCAGGAAGCAGAGGTTGTGGTGAGCGGAGATCGCGCCATTGCACTCCAGCCTGGGTAAGAAGAGTGAAACTCCGTCTCAAAAAAAAAAAAATTAGCTGAGTGCCTATGGCATGTGCCTGTAGTCCTAGCTACTCAGGAAGCTGAAGATGAGAAGATCACTTGAGTCCAAGAGTTCAAGGCTGCAGTAAGCTGTGATCATACCACTGCACTCTAGCTAGGGTAGCAGGTGAGGCACCCTGTCTCTAACAAAAACCTAGCTTACTAGCAAAATTTTTTTTTCACATTTACCCAGAGGGCATGAGCCAGCAAAAAAATTTTTTAAATGAGACCGTTATTAGAGCTATGCCAATCTATTTCTGGATAAATTTCTATCACCACAACAGCCTTTGGACCCAGAATTATGGAGAGCAGACACTAAAGATGTAATCCAGGAATTAAGGAATTATGTAATAATTCCTAAATTATGTAATACATTAAGGAATTATGTATGTATTATGTTATTATGTAATAACATAATAAAATTGACCTTCAAGCCTTTGTTTTAGAAATAACTGAAATTGTGAGAGCATGCTTGAGAGGAGGATTTTACTTAAATTATTATCTACAATAGTAACTCCTTATAGAAATTTCAAATTTTGTATCATGTAATTTGTAAAAACCAGAAACTATTATATTATAAACAGAAGTAATATTATATTACTTATACATTGAAAGAAAATTTGTTCTGTTTAGAAATGTTGTGACCACAATTTGAGATGACCAGTAGTGGATATCAGTTTACTCAATGTCAGAGAACTCATACTGTGAAAAATACAATATATGTTAAAAAATGTGAGAAGACATTACAATATAATTTAGTCCTTATCACAGACATCATGAATTCATACTGATTAAAAACTTTATGAATGTTAAGAATGTGCAGAAGGTATTATTTGTGTGGACTATTTAGTCAACACCAGAGAATTCATACTGGTAAGAAATTCTATAAATATAAGGAATGTGGGAAGGTGTTTAGAATGAGTTGAGTTTATTCTATAAATTAGAATTCATACTGATTATTCATATTAGGAATGTCAGAAATCCTTTCTTGTGTGCAGGTAAGTCACTCATTATAAGAGAATTCATACTGTTGAAAAACCTGAAAAAATATAAGAACTGTGGAAGGATATTTAAATTTTAATCCTTACTATATATCAGAGAATTCATATTGTGAAAAACTATGAACTTAAGAGATGCAATAAAGCCTTTCTTGTATCTGGACAACGTACTCAACATCAGAGTATTCATGTAAGTGCCAAATTCCATGAATGTTAGGAACATAAGGTCTTTGATCTGATTTTAGTTCTTCTGAGAACCAGATAATTCATACTGATGACAAACATTATGAATGTAAAGAATGTGGTAAAGCCTTTATTGTGTCTGGACACATTGCTCAATATCAGAGAATTCAAACT